TTGATCACTTACAATACAGTCAGCAGTACCGGGCACAACCGTAAAACGACCCAAATGCCTAAATTATAGTCCAGCTACTTGGTTTCTTACTCCGAGTGCTGCTGAATTGATGTGGGATGATTTGGGCGAACATTTAGGTATGCTTAATCCTTCTGAAATGGCTCATCTATCGAAAAGTGTGCTGATTGCAGCTGATCCAGTATCGGCTTCTAGATTTATCAATGACGAGTTTAAAGAAATCTTAGAATCCCTTACAATAAGTGATGCTCCTATTGGCAGAGTCACCCGCTATTTCTGGAGAAGAGAATATCAGTGACGTGGATTACAAAATTTTCACCTATAGCTTTGGATAGATGATGCTCGTGTGATTAGAGAAAACACAGATGAAGAAACTGTTGTAGTTATTTTAAAATATGTTACTTGCCACATTCCAGATAAAAACTCGTGTCCAATATTAGATGAAAGAGTATCAAAATACCAGTCTTACTGTTGCAATAATTACTGCATGAGGCCAAAGAAAACCAAATATGATATCAGAAAAATTTGTCAATTTGGTTTACCAAGACCTGAAAGAGAAAAATTGTATCTTTAGAGTGTTGTTGAATCGATAGTTGGAAGGAAAGTGTTGATTGTCAATTCACGCCTATATGATCTCCAACACAGAGGAAATGAGCATATTATAAATGACTACAACCCTAAATTGTTGTTAGTTTGGAAAGGTAATACGGATCTGCAATATATAAGAGAGAAGTTGACGATTTTAAATCAGTGTATTTCAAAGTATACAACTAAGGAAGAAAAAGTTGTGGCAATACTGCATATACTGAGCTAACCTTTACCAAATCACTAGCTAGTCGTATATAAAGTGTTGCATTAAGGAACCTTTCTGATCTAGAATGTGATGCTCTGGAAACTAGTGACACACTATTGGGCTTACTACTGTATGGAACAGATCCAGGTACTATATTGCAATGGGTTGTCATAAACATGGTTTGCAGTCGTAGAGTTAAGAAGCATCACATTATAACAGGGATGCCTGAGGATTCTAAAGATTTACTTTTTCCTTCTTGGATTGATACTTATTATCCCAACAGACCACCTGAGGTTGAGGATACTAATCTGTATGATTTTCTAGTTTTAGTATGACATTGTGAACAAGCAGCCCGGTGATAATGCTACATTATATCTTATGTTTAACTGTTTCTTTAAAAAAAAGGGATACAACCATACATAATCAACCATTAGAGATATAACCCACAACAAGAACTGGAGAAATGCTTATATTATACATAAATATAAATGGTGGAGGTATCCCACATCTACTAAATTTTAAAATAAAAAGCAGCTAAAATGAATAAAAATATATCATTTAAAAATAACTTTTTGCCACTGATAAGATGACAATGCCACGATAACAGTGGCGAAACGTTGTTTTTAAATGATATATTTTTTCTATCCTATTTTAACTGTTTTTATTTTAAAACTTTTATCCCATGCTGTTGTTGTTTAAACCCAGGAGAGAATGTGATACCCTAATGGGAGATTGCTCTAATTACACTGAGATAAAGATGGTTTGCAATTTGTTTGTTGGCTATAGATACGATGGATTGTCCTGGGCATCTTCATTCTAAAGTCTACAAAAAGCTTTCTAAATATAGTGACGACAATACTCTCACAACTGGCTTGTAAAAAGATATAGTAATAAAGATTGATTGCAAGGTTATGCTTCGGAGAAACATTGACGCGACTCTTGGATTCGTAGTAAATGTAGCAATAGGTACTGTGTGTTCTGTTAAGTATATCATAGATCAAGCCAGTGTCGTTGATAGCATAACTTTAATGTTTAGTGATGGTCTTGAACATGAAGTAAATAGTAAATTCGAAGTATTGGATAAAACTTTTGTTATTCGACGCCAGTTTTCAATTGCGAGTGCGTATGTTAACACCATACACAAGTCACAAGGATTAACTCTACACAATGTTGTTATAGACAATGGCAACACAATCTTTATCTGTAGCCAAAACTATGTGATAATGTCTAGAATAGCTAATCTGCCTATTCTTCACTTGGTAAACATAGATCTTCGCTCTATAAAAGCATTAGATTCTGCTGTGGTGGAATATGTTTATCTCCGCAGAAATCTTAGCCCATCGTTAACTTCCTACAAGAAGTGATCCAAAGTTGTTCCTGACAGGCAGTAGTGTTCAACAAAATCAGCGTTTGTACTTCACCAGCAATCTGGTAATCATGCAGCAGAATTGTTAACTTTTTTATCGAAAAAGGTGTTACCAATAATGATGGATTGTCAAGCTTTGCTAATAGCACAGTTGAACACCTTCTTATAGCGAAGCTGTGCGTAATAAACTTATTAAAGGCTCAAATGGATCTACTAAACAGTTGACCAAGAAATATGAAAGTATTGATCACACAGCTTTAGATTGCAGTAATATTTGTAATGAGCTTGGTGATCCATTTGATGCACACTGTTAACAGGATCCTGTACATTTTCTTCAAGCCCTTGTATAACATTATCCTGTCTTCTTTGATAAACCATTGTGTTACTACAGAAACTGTGTGCACTAAATATAACAAAATTGTTGCTGTAGACAAAGAACCAACAATCATGAATATTTCGGTTCCTGAAGTATCAGGAGAGTATCAAAAGAGCATAAGAATGGATGATTTGCTTAAGTTTGCTCAAGAGTGGACGGTGCGAAATAGTAACTTATGTAACACCCAAGATGTGCACTCAGCTTGGTAGTGATCAACAATTTTTTGTATTTAAACTTGATGATTGGAAAAGAACAACAGGTAATGGAAAGGTAAGGCGAAAGACTAGTATTAACTCTGTGCGTAGTAGTTATTCAATTAAGGTAGGTGATAGTCTGTTTAAATTGTGCACTACAGGCAAACAAAGAAGGCTGGTGTTGGTTATACAAGTGTCATTTTAGTGAATAGAAAATAGATTCATATTCACTGTAATGGCGAAACTTTAACAACTGCATCTTGGCACAAAGGAGCAAAAGATTTGTACTTGTTTTTTTTATGAGAGCACTTCTATCATTGACAAAGACTCATTATCAGTACCTGCAAAATGGGCTAAATTGTGTGATGTAAAATTGCCAGTGATCAATGATGCTTTAAGAACGTCTAGTAGCAACTTTAAAAAAGACAATTTGCAGCATCAATTAACTATGGAAAAGAAGGCACCCATAAATGAAAATTAGTAGAACTATTCGTTAAATCTGTTCTACCTATAAAGAAAACAAATATTAAGGTAGTACCCAATATTGTTACTTGTAAAGCAAAAGGCTCCTTGGATATGAAGCATAAGGGTAAATATAAAGTACCTTAGTCCACTATAGCTACTTACGAAGACTATGAAATAACTGCTGTTGATATGCCCATTGTGCCAATCATTGAATGGCCTAATTACGGGTATTTTCTGTTGATGATGAATGGCAGAGACAAGCTTGAAATTTACTAGGTTTAAAGTTTTTACATCCAGTTCAACGTGTATCAAGTGGATCAGACGTCATTCTAACCCTGCCAGATGCTCTATCTTTAAAACGCATTAGAGGTGATGGAAATTTCCTTTTTAGAGCTATGTTTTATAAACTAACTGGCTCTGAAGAGCAGCATTTTGAAGTTAGAAGTGCAATGTTTACCCATATGCTAAGCATATCTGAATTAGTAAGTGGCATTGGGGCTGATGGTCACCAAAACTACTTAAATCGATACAATGGTAGCCACAACATTGTTGAGCAATATCTTACACGGAGTCAGATGGCTGTTAATGGGACATAGAGCATTGGTTTTAAGATGTCTGTTTTAGCTCATCTTTTGAATAATGTGGTGTACTCTTACAAGTGTGGAGAATATTGAATTTCATGTTTTCCTCATTGAATTAACAAGACTATACCAGAAAACAAACATTGCAAGTCAATGTGTACACAGGTGCCCAGTTTGATGTGGTTACCAGAGTATATGCATGATGAAAGTGTAGTGTACTATGCATTCAAATATTTGTGCACGTGTGTCGAACTAATCTTACTGGAGAAAACATTTACTTGTTTTCATACTGATTATTTGCTTCTAATTATTTGCATTGTTTCTTGGGTTGCACTACAGTGTAGTGTGCAATTTTGTTTGTAATTTATCAACTAGCAGAGGGTTGAAAGGTATTGTGTTCCTATTGCTTTGCGAGCTTTAGTATGATTATGTGTATGTTAGGATTGACAAAAAAAGTTGCCAAATCACAAATAACTCATACTTGTGCTATCGTTAATAAAATTGACAAGCGTGATAATGAAATAATTTTAAACAAATTATAGACTTTATTTAGCACACAATTTTAAACTATGTATCCAATAATATTGATTGCCTCGGCTGCATTCGAATACCAATTATCTTAGTCGCTGTTTGTATAACAAGTAATTTTTATCTTTGCCGCGCATTTTTTATATAGACAAGCTGTTTTTGGTTTAGATATCAGTAACCAGCCACCCACAAAGCAGTTAGAAGTGCGAATAACAATAAACAGCAACCTACATAGAAACTTGAAGTAATTTATTTGTATGCAATACCTTATTTTAATTTAAGGTACTTGTAATGTTTGGTATTTTGTGATTGATGTTATATGTAATACCTTATTTATTTTATTTATGGTGTGTGTAATGTGTGGTATTTTGTATTGGTGGTGTTTGTAAAAGCTTAGCGTTTGATTTATGGTGTGCGTAGTGTCTGATCTTTCGTGATTGGTAGTGTAGGTAATATGTTATTTGTTTGATGATTGATGGCATGTATCTTCGTTTAGTTGGTGATTATGCAGTAACGATATCACACTGTTCAATTACTTCAATCCATAAATATAAAATTGTAAATGTTCTGAATATTTTCACAATTCTCTTACGCATTTTTTTATTTTTGCTAAACCTTGGTGAAAAGATCCTCTGGTGAGTAACAAGTAACTTTAACAGATCTAGTGAAATGGCTGACAAGAGGATCGTTTTGTATATGTGTGGGTAAATTTTTGTTTAAAAGGTTTTGAATGCAATTTATCTTAATTTAGTGATTTTTTTTTCTAACTAGAAGTTCTATAAAACTTGTGAAGTAGTTAAACAACTAGCGAGGAAAATCAAGTAAGCACGATGACCTATTTCGTCGAAGGAAGTCAAAAAGTGATGAACACAATAGCACTACTACTATGTAGGTCAAGTTTTGTAAAGAATAGTAGGTGTAAAACTTTAAAGAAAAGTTCTACGTTCTCAAGAACTAGGTGAGAGTAGTGTACATTAACCTCTTGCAACTAATGTATTTTCCGTTTTAGTGTTGTTATTTTACCTATGAGCTTCCTGTGGTCCTAGGCTTTTTCTTGTTAAGCTGCGAATATCTTTGACTTAAAAATAAAAGTTCAAAGAACGAAGAGTAAAATGAAAATAGAGAACTTCTAGATATTGTTAGACCAGTATAATTTACAATGGCAATGATGATGGGCTGGAAAATATGTTATTAGTGTTAACAACATACCGCCGCTGGCTTAGTACGTTTTAAAGAATATCCAACTAGAAAACAGAATGTTTATTAACATAAAATAATTTATTAATACTGTATTTATTGTGCTTGACAGCTGCGATCTTTACCGTAATATTTCTTGACAGGTTGCTCTCTCATTCAGTTTAATATCGTTTCAGGCACAGCACCGATGACCTTATTGTTTGTTTTTTCTTAAGATTTATGTCAAAACTTAAAAAAAGGAAAAATTACATCGATCACTAAATAGTAACATGTACAGATTTTTGTTGTTGTTTAGCATTTTTCCACAAAGCTACACAAATGGTATTTGTACATAAATTCTGAACTATAGAGAAAAGGCAGCTAGTCAATAACACCCATCAACAACTCTTGAGTTTTTCTTGTCTAGTCGAATACTTGAATTTGACCGTCGCTCATATAATGCACCCACAGCCCTAAAGTGCAGAGCGAGTTTTTGCGACAACAGACACGAGTCGTGAACCATTGGATTCTTTTTTTGTACTGTTTTGTTAAGTCGTTATTCTAACTTGTGCTTTTATTATTCAATTGTATTGTTAGAAAATAATGCGATCATACATAGCTATACAAACAACAAACAACTATTTCAAAATTTTTATTAAAATCACAGCTCTCTCCCTGTTAATGTTTACTAAACTATACTATGAACGTGACTGCGTGTTTATTTCAAGTAAGAGAAACTATTACAAGATCTACATATTTAAAAATTTAAACTAATACACATGAAAATCAAGAACTTTGAATATTACGAGAAAGTTGTCTGTACAAATTCAGCAGTAACCACGCACAAGCCCCCCAGTGGCACAGAGGTATGTCTGCGGACTTACAACGCTAGAAACCGGATTTCGATACCCGTGGTGAGCAGAGCACAGATAGCTCATTGTGTAGCTTTGTGCATAAATTCAATCAAGCAAGCAAACCACGCACAATGTGAAATTTCTTGTCAGAACCGATCAATTCTTCCGGTCCAACATATAAAACGGTAGTAAGTATCTGATCATATAAAAATGCCCATTTGCTAAAGCTACTGCCACACATGTGTTCGGGTTCCTAAGTTGTTGGTGGCTAGCAAACTCACCCTCAGGCAAAAATAAGTCGCACTTTTTCTCTATATGCATCACTTTTCTTATTTATGTTTCTTTTTATCTGTGATAGCGCAAGAAAAATACTTGAAATATTGACAAAAGATAACTAATACTTACAACATCATCACATCTTTGCTCATGATACGTCTTTTATAGTGTACAAAAAAAGCTATGATTGAGGTTTATCCATTTTTCGAAATGTAATTTTTAACTTTCAATTTGAAAATGTGAAATGTAAAGGTTTCGCCAAAGAAACATTTTCTATTAACAACTGATTTATTTTAATATTGTTATGAAGTTAGGTGTAAGGAACATCGATTAGGATTGAGAGAGGTAAGAAATCTACCGGCCTTTGGCCAGTTTTTGAGAAATGCGGGGATTATGTTAATTCTAAGTCAATTGAAAGCGATTAGAGTGATCAGCCGCCTATATATATATGTATACAGACTGTGAACCTTTTTGGAAATGTTGCAGTGATATAAAAGTCTGTGAAGGTTATTAAAATATCTATACAAATATTGTGAACTTTAATGTAATATATTTATGGATAGTGAAATTATTATTTTTTTTCCCAAAAGACCGAGTGGTGAAACAATTGAGCAACATTGTGATGATACGCTGGAATTTTGGAGCCTGGGTAACTACGAGATTACAAAACAACAACAAGATTAAATGGAATTAACATTCCCGAATATATTCAGAAAGTTAGGTGTAAAGAACATCGGTTCGGGTTAAGAAAATGAGAAAGCAGCCGATCTTTAACCAGTCTATAATAAATTGGGGGATTAAAAATTAGCCACACAATTTATTCCAGTATGGAGACTACAAGACCTTATATGATTACTAAACATTAAAATCCGACATACGGGAAACAGGTGTAAGGTGAAAAGAAAGGGACCGGTTCGGCGTGGGTTTCAGAAAGGAACATAAAAAGCAGGAGTTTAATGAAGAAAAGAAAGAGAAGACCGGTAGATGAGAGAGACAGAACGAATATATCGAGAGAAGTAAAGGAAGAAAGTAACATGCTATCATTAACAACAACAAAAAAATCTAAATTTGTGTGTTCTTGATTATAATAATAAAAAGCTGTTTGTTAGGTTTCATTGCTATGAGTCAATTCCTCATAAAAATAAGTACAACCTAAATATAGTTGATGGACATAAGAATGGAAAGCGAACTATGATTATAGCACGATCGTAACTCTGTAACAAATATTCGTTTAGGTTTCAAAGTTAAATACACTAGGGCTTTGTGTGAATAGCTTTGGTCTTATTAATTTTATTAAAAAATATGTCCATTGACATACATATAGCAGGCACCTCAAATCTCCCCCTCTGGATTGTGATGTTCACGTGTTTTGGCCCTGTTTCACACTCCCACGCTTACTTCATAAATTTCATGCAAAACACGCAATGTCATATCTACTCGCAAGCTTTATAGATTTCACAACTTGAGATATCTGGTGTAAATCTACATGTTTAAGAGCAAAGTAAATTGTACAACTTGATCAAAAGATTGAAATAACAACCTAACAGAATTATTCTTTGGGTGTCTACACTGCTGAAAGAAATTAATTTATTATATATTTTGTCATAATATTAAAGTATATCGAAGTGAGAGAATAAAAGAGGGGTGCATAAGGCAAGGAGATATATATAATATGACGAGCAACAATTATTATATAATGGCACAAAGTTTCTATCTTATTGTATATCAGTCGGTGCTTATTTAGAACTGTAATGTAGTTCTAACGAGTTGTCGTATAAATCATACAGTCGTATATATATATATATGTTAACGTACAGATTAAATCATACAGTCGTATATATGTATTAACGTACAGATATTTCTGATGTACAAAACTGCATTGAATGCTGGGAACATTATTTTAAAAAGATACATCAATCATTATCGTCGAGATACAACTCGGATGTAACGATTTAATGGAAGAAACTTAAAACTGTACAGATAGCACACATACTACACAGTTACACTTACAAGTTTGTTTAAAAATGCAATTACGAAAACTGAATGAAATACAAATCATCCGGAAAGTAATACCTCTTCCAAAAATTACAATTACACATATTGGGTTCTTATGACCAACAGCTAAAAACGTAGGAGAAATATGTTTTACCTGTTACACAGTAGCGATTTGAAGCGTCCAGACAAACTCTCTAGCAGCTAGATTCTAGCGTGGCTTACCTGTGTGCATCTTTGAGGCAGATGCAGTTGTCCTTGGTTGTGGCCGTGACGTTAACTACAGATTTGGCCTTGGGCCTATCTAACCTGAAAATACGAAGCCTCAGCTGACGAGTTGATGCTGTAGAAGGTGAAAGTCAATGATTATTTTTTGTAAGCTGCCAAGGATATCCAGGCGAACGTAGGGGTTAGGATTATATTTTTTTTTTCATTAGGAAACTAAGTAGACGACAAATGTTGTCATTAATTTCGAATTTCATTAACGACAGAAGAAAAATTTTCTTCTAGACAGTTCTAAATCCCTTTTTGATAAAGAAAAACAGCGTCAACATAAAATAAACAATTAATACGAAGTAAAAATCATATAAATATAGCTAAAAATCAAAATATAAGAAACTCAAAATAAATAGAAATTACAATAACGGATACAGGATTGCAATTCAAAATGCACAAAAATCAATTTTGGAATTTTTATCTTTTGCTCAATTTTTCAGCGAGCACAGTTTGGGGTGGGTTTTCGTGAACTATTCATGTGCATGTCAACCAACTTACATGAAATTTGGTACAAAGATACTTTCTTGCAGATCCAAAGCAGCGATATAGAGATTATTTATTGATTTCTCTGTTGTCAAAATTGGCCACGTTGGGATTGCGTGGCGGAGACATGTTGCATTCGTCCGTGAATGTTTACCGTTTTAATTCAAAGCTGAGAATAGGCGTTCTTTACAGTTACAGAAATCTTTTAATGTTATTTTGAAGTAACTGTACACGCGATATTAACTTAATTTTTGGGATTTTGAATGACCCGTTCTATGTTGCAGATTAAATATCTTAAAAAACAAAAATATAGATTATGAAAAATGTTTCACTGATTTGCTTAGAAATGTGATTTAAGCTATAATAATAAAATATTTAATAAAATATTATTAAAATCTCCCACCTTAACAGAGGCAGACCGCACTTCAAGTATAGATTTTTTTGGAAGATTTCTTGGTTGTTGTGTTCACGTGACCTGAATGGTCATGATCATGCAAGCTGTTCACGTTAGAGATCATCCAGGAGAGATTTTTTATCTCTGCTAACAGTTTAATTAAATACATTTTAGTGTTTGAAGGTAAAGGTAATTTCTATATTGAATTTTTCAATCGATTTTGCCCAAGAAACAGTTTGTATTCATCAAAAATTCTAGTTGTCAATTATTGACAATACTTCATCCATTTTTGTGAAAATAGAAGAAAATTTTCCATCTTTACCAACTTAAATCCTCCGTTTTGATCATTTCCCCCTGCGCTAGTCAACCCCCTTTTGTTTGCTTAGATTGATTTAACAATTGTGTTGCAGTTTTCTTAAAGTTAAATCGTAGACTGCTAGACTATATATAAGGCAATAGATTAAAATACAAACTGTTAATTATAGGCCATAGGCCATAGATAGGCCTAAATAAGATGTTTTTAATTGTGTATCAGTTTAACGTTGAATATTATTTATGATTTTAACAAACTGTTAATATGTAATTGTAGTAAGAGATCCGCTTTACGAAATTATTTCTAATATAAAGAAACAGTAACAAATGTTTACCTTTTATATTCCAGTTATACAGTATACCAAAAACTCATCGCACAAGTGTGATTAAAGGAAAAATACATTTGGGAATATAATTTTCAACCTTGTTTATCGTTAACAAAACATTCAAGATATTCACACAGTTTCTAACGAGTTTTTATTCTTAACTTTATTAAGGGGATTATATAAAAATGAAATTCTTGTGACTTTTAATGAGATATTAAATCGACGTTTAAAGTAATCGTTGTGTCTTTTCCTCACTGCTTAGGTTATCTAATATCCATTTGTATGCATTCATAATTGATGTTACCTAACTGTACATAAAAAGAGAAAAGTTATGTATTTAACCGAAGTTTCCGCAGATTATTTGGCTTTTCTTTTGCAACACTACTTTTCAACTGATGCCAGAAATTTTCACTGGGAGTTTGAACTGTTCATTTCATACTTTTCAAATCACAAGGTATTTTCTTCTCCCCAAATACTGCTTATAAAGCAAGGCACCATGTTTTGGCATATTATTCAATTGAAATTCAAAGCCTAGGCCAATTAAGCATCATAGTAAGCCTGCGAAAATAGGTTAGTTTTACCTTTGACATTGATTCATATGATATCACATTTAGTTCTATTTAAAATGGCACCACAAACAGGCGTCTTGAACATGTGTTACACAATTCAGGTAGTCAAAGGCAAAGCCCAGGTAATGGAAAACGTGCAAACATATTGGACAAAATGGCATCTTCTATTGGACTCAGACATTTTGTTTGAGTTGCGTATACCCTGGTGGTGGAGCCCCCCAGTAGCACAGCGGTATGTCTGCGGACTTACAACGCTAAAAACCGGGTTTCGATACCCATGGTGGGCAGAGCACAGATAGCCTATTGTGTAGCTTTGTGCATAATTATAAACAAACAAACAAACCCTAGTGGTGGAACATGTTCAAACACGCTGAATAAGGTGGCACTTTCCAGTAAATGCAGCTAATTTAATGAGCTCCTCCCTGGCAGTATAAAATTGCACAAGAATTGTGATTTGTCTGGTATGAGTACAGCCTTCTTAAATTAAATCCAGTAGGTGCAGGCATATCAGTCACGATGATAACTCAGATGTTACATGGAGGGGCATCTCCTTCTTATTCAATTGCAGTACACAATGAGTCAAAGAAGACTCCTCCATGAATGCTGAATATTTTTATTAAACCATGAAACATAGTCTAACTTTGATTTTACTAATAGTTGCGCCCTCCTCCCCCAGTGGCACAGCGGTATGTCTGCAGACCTACAACGCTAGCTACCGGGTTTCGATACCCATTGTGTAGCTTTGTGCTTAATTTGAAACAGATAGACAAACAAAACAAGCTAATACTTGCATGTTGAAGCCTATTAATTATTCATGATTACATAAAATAAAAATTTACCCTACTGATTTCAACAGGTATTCCTTCTTTCTTCAGGGATAAAGAAAGAATGGTGTAATAGAATGCAGAGTGATAACATTTTAGTTTCGTGGATGAAAATCACTTTATGTATCATGAAATACAAAGAATAAATTGAAAGTTGAAAAAAAAGATTGTTAAACATAGAATAGTTTACAACATTGTTCTTTTTTAATTTCTTTTTATGTACTTTATTACTGTATTTACTTTTTATCCAAAACAAAACAGAAACAAACATGAAATAGTACAAAATATAATATAATTTGAAAGAAGTTTGTTTGTCTGTCCTCTAACTCCTCATGGGCTTTTAAATTTAGACCTGTCAAATATGCTTTGATTAAAACTAGGAATGATTCGCGATGTTCCAAAAAGATGTGATTTTGCTTTCAAAATGTATAGATTTCATAGCTTCAGTGAGGACTAAACACAGATCAGTCAGTGGGGGTGGCCACTAGGGCTGTTCGTGAAAGTTCTCCAAGTTCCTCTTTCCTTACATGGGATATACATATAGTCCATGTACTTTCAAGCATTACTAGCATATTTAGGACAAAAACAGAAACATTACTTATATTCATAACTGATAAAAGATTAATACTACAATTGCTTTTATTTTCAAATCCCATCAATCATTTGAAGGATTTCTGTTCCCACATTGTTTATATAGATACTTATATTAAGTCAGATGTTTTTAAGTCACATGTTAGTTATTGCTTTTCGATAAATAAAAACTAAAATATAAAATAAAATTTCACAAGCTTCTCACCGTGCATCGCACGGGTACATCTACTAGTAATAAATAAATCTGTAGGGTAACGATAAACAACATTTTTTATTTATAATACAAGGGGATTAAGATAAACGTTTCGGACTTTAACAAATTCCATATTCAGTATCTAAAGCAAA